CGTGCACGGCTGTGTGCATACATACAAGGGAATGCGTGCCTGTGTGGGTTATGTACACGCACCTGCCTGTGTGAAGGGCGCCGTGTGCACGCATGGGTTAGCACCTTTGTATATGCATGCCGGTGTGCAGACAGGTGTCTGCATCTCTGTTCTGTGTTCCGAGTGTGTTCGCCTCTCAGGTGCACGTTTACCGGTGTATGCCCTGATGTGTGCATGTGAGAGTGTGCACGCTCCACCCTATCACGTGATGCAGCTGCCTCAGCTTGAGCTCCCCCAGCCTGGAATTGGGGCTGCAGATTTGCATCCAGGCGGACTGTCCAGGTGTGCCCGCTTTGGGTTCTGAGGAACATAAATGATAGATGCGGGGCGGGGCCGGCCGCAGTTACCCCCTCCGGGCAATAGGGTGTAGGGTTACAGCCTGACCTGGGGCACAGGTCCACTGGAAGGGGCTGTAGGAGTGTCCCCATCCCGGCTTCTCTGAACTCCTTCCTGAAATACACTCCCCTTCCCCTACCTTTCAAGGTCACATCAGCCCTCTTCCCTGGGTTCCACAGTTAGTTGTACTGGGGCTTCTGGCGGAATGCTGGTTCCTCCCTGTGGCTCTAGAGTTTTCTCCATCCCAGTCCTGGGCCTGGGGATGGCAGAGGACCCCTCACACCAGCCTGTGCCCCACATTCCCAGATGGCGTCAGCCACAGACTCTCGCTATGGACAGAAGGAGTCCTCGGACCAGAATTTTGACTACATGTTCAAGATCCTTATCATTGGTAACAGCAGTGTGGGCAAGACATCATTCCTCTTCCGCTATGCAGACGACTCCTTCACTCCCGCCTTTGTCAGCACTGTGGGCATAGACTTCAAGGTCAAGACTATCTACCGCAATGACAAGAGGATCAAGCTGCAGATCTGGGTGGGTCCAGCTGGGGGGCTCCTAGCTCCAACACTCTCCCTCCCTTCCCGGAAAAACAGCCCCAGCTTTGCCTGTCTCTTTCATTCATTCACAAAACTGGGCATTTACCATGTGCGTATGGGGTACCAAAGGCACAGAAGAGAGTCCCTCCTCTTCCATTGGAGCTTAAATAGTGCTCTCCAGGGCTGAGGGATGAGCAATACTGGGTTCTTCCTATGTATCTTCCTGATATCTGCAGGAGCATCATTGAGTGCCTCAGTTTCCTCATTTGCAAGTCCTTCCATGTGAGTCTGTTTGAGGTTTCACCAGATGTTGGCCCCCAACCTCATTGCCTGGGACAGGTCATTGGCTGCCTCCCACAACCGCTCAGAGATTTGAAGGACCTTCCATGGGCTCCTCCCTCACAAGGGTAAACCCCAAACCCCACCCTGGCATAGGAGCCCCTGCCTGGTCTGTCCCTGTGCTACCTCCACCCAGTCTCCCTCCATTGCTGCCTCCCCCTCATTATTCCTCAAACCCACGGAGCAGTCCCATGCCGGCATCTTTGGCCTGGCTGTGCTCTCTCACTTCCTTCAGGTTTTTAAAACCTGCCCCGGCCCACAAGACTTTCCTCTTCAGTCCTTACCGCCCTCTGACATATGTACATTTTCTTCCATGTGTTTATTTTCTGTTTCCTGCATTGAGCAGTCAGTCCCACAGGGCAGTGGTTTTCATCTGCTTTTACAGCTGTGCCCCCGGTGCCCAGTGTGGTACATGGCACAGGGCAGTGCCCTGTCCACGTGTACTGATGAATGAGGGGACAGTTCTGCCGGTGCTGGACTCTATAGGATGAAGAAGCACACATTCTTGGTGCAGGTGGCTGGCTGGCTCTCCCTGGCCCCCGGTGCCTCTGGGCAAGCTCTGGGTCTCGCGAGAGCTAGACTGGACTGTCTCAGAGCTCATTTCCACCGAAGAACTTGCGTGTGGGTCTTCTCTGACCCTGCCTCTTCTTCCTCAGGACACAGCAGGGCAAGAGCGGTACCGAACCATCACCACAGCCTACTATCGGGGTGCCATGGGCTTCATCCTCATGTATGACATCACCAACGAGGAGTCCTTCAATGCTGTGCAGGACTGGTGAGCACCCCCTTACCCCTTCTCTCAGACTGTCTTCTGAGCTGGGTATGTTGCAAAGCCTAGTGGGTAGGCGGATGAGGGATCCCCAGTCCCCCAGCAGATATGTAAATAACAATATTGGGGGCCCAGGCCTCCTGTCAGTCTATAATCATTAAAACAGCAGGTCTGTCCCTGTGATACCTCCACCCTGTTCTCTCTCCCTCCACTTCTGCCTCTGCCTCATTATTCCTCAAACTGTCTTCTTAGGAATAGCAAGGCTCAAAATAACAGAGGGGGAGAGAGAGATTTCAGGTGGAAAAATGAAACTAAACATAGAGGAAAAAAATCTGAGGGGTGAGGGAAGAACAGAAAATATAAGGACAGTTGACACAGGTTAAAGGACTTACACATTTACATTTCTGCCCCGAAGTGAAGATAAATTTTAAGAAAATTTCTGGTTTTACTGAGGAGAGAGACGTTGTCTCTGGGGGCAGGGATCTGGGAAGGTGAGACTTTGGAGATCAGGGAGCTGCTGAAACAGACACCCACAGGCAGCAGAGTGTTTCTGGCAGGACAGAGGCTGGAGGAGAAACTGAACCTGCCAGGTTCAAGGGCAATGGGGAGCTGAGGGGCTGGGGAGGGGTGAAGGAGTGGGGCTCAGATCCTCCAAGCCCCAACCTGCCCATTGCCTTCTGGTCCAGGTCAACCCAGATCAAGACCTACTCTTGGGACAATGCCCAGGTGCTGCTGGTGGGGAACAAGTGTGACATGGAGGATGAGCGGGTGGTGTCATCCGAACGCGGCCGGCAGCTGGCTGACCACCTTGGTGAGTGCCCGGAGGGGCTGGACACCTACAGGCTGAGTCTTGGGTAGATTTATGTTCCCTATGCAGGGGGTTACTGATTCATTCTACACTTCCTTGCTGCCCAGCCTCATTGCGGGTGTTGCTGGGCCTCCAGCTTTGTGGAATATAAGGACTAGGGCTGGGCAAGTCCAGTGGGGGTTGCCTCAAAGGCTTGTGGAGGAAGGACATTGCATCTGGTTCTTTAAGAAAGGGCGGGCCTTCGGGCAGAGGAAACAGCTTGGGCAGAGGACAGAGTGGGAGACGCCATGCATTTTGGCAAACACTTTTACACAGTTGCAACATGAGGCTAGTCGGGGTGAACTGTGGCCACTGATGCAGGGTCTGACCACAAGCTGAAGAGCTGGGTTCTTCCTAGGGCAATAGGGAGTGAACAGGAACAGGCATGGCTGGATCTGAATGTCAGATGACACCAGGGGCAGTGGATGGGACTGGGCCAGGTGGTGGGTCTTACCAGGGCCAGGGAGACAATGAGAAGGGTTGTTTTTTGTTTGTTTGTTTGTTTTTATAGAGATAGAGAAACAGCACTTTGCTGCCATTTATTCATTGGTTCTTTCTTATATGTGCCCTGACTGGGGATCAAGCCTACAAGTTTGGCATATCAGGGCGACCAATTGAGCTAACCAGCCAGGGCCAAGAAAGGGACAGTTTTAGGGTGAAGAACGGAGTGCAGACACCCAGTTAAACGTTACTTCCCCATGTTCCTTGCCAGTGTCTTTGTGGTGCAGCAGGCACTAGGAACCTCGTTATTTCTGACCTCAGGGACGTGTCTTTGGGGGTGGGGACCCACGGTCTTCACCCCTTTTTCCCCCGACCACAGGGTTTGAGTTCTTTGAGGCAAGTGCCAAGGACAACATTAATGTCAAGCAGACCTTTGAGCGCCTGGTGGACGTCATCTGTGAGAAGATGTCCGAGTCACTGGACACAGCGGACCCTGCCGTCACAGGCGCCAAGCAGGGCCCACAGCTCACGGACCAGCAGGCGCCCCCACACCAGGACTGCGCCTGCTGAGAGCCGGCCCGCCCACCCCCGCCCTGCTCTCCCCAACCACCACCAGGCCCCTCCTGACCACGGGCACAAGACCCAGCCCCGACTTAGCCCTAGCCCGTCACCCTTATTTATTATTGTAGCTATTTATTTATTTATTGGCGAGATCCCCCGGGGGCTTGGCACCACCACCCCCTGCACCCCACCCTGTACATACAGCCCTGTCTCTGCTCTGCCGTGGCGTGTTGTTCCCCCGCGAACTCACCACTCCTCTCCTCCAGACCCCCCCTTTTTAAAAAGTCACCCCATCTATAGTTCTCAGTTCTGAAGGGGGTCCAGTGACACCGGAGGGCAGGGTAGCCAGGTGATGTAAGGTAGCCATGTCTGTCAGCCCCTGAGCCACAGTGGGATCTCGGCATGGACCACAGGATGGATGGGTCAGAGCCTGACAATGGCCCGCCCGGCTCCTGGCCCCAAGTTTTACTTTTTATTTTTAAGCGGGGGCTGCAGTGAACCTGGCAATACCCCCACAGGCCTGACGTCATGAGTGTCAAATGTGCTCCCAGTTCTCCCAGGAGATGTCATGACAACACTACACACACCCAATAAAACGGATGGACGATGCTGTGTCTACGAGTGCTGCCTGCCAGCGCTGGCTGTGGTCATCTGTGAGACTTTAAATTACAGAGAGAAGGTGATGAAGTTCCCACAGCCCACAACCAGTACGTGACCCTGGTGCTGCCCAGCTCCGGATCCTGGGGGCTGGCTCCAGGCTAGGCACTGCTGAGTGGACAGACAATGTCCCTAGGGCTCAGAGCCCAGTAGTTTTTTTTTTCTCTTTTAAATATTTTATTTTCTTACAGAGAGGAAGGGAGAGGGATAGTTAGAAACATCAATGAGAGAGAAACATCGATCAGTTGCCTCCTGCACACACCCTCCTGGGGTCGTGCCTGCAACCAAGAGACATGCCCTTGACCGGAATCGAACCTGGCTGGAGTCCGCAGGCCGACACTATCTACTGAGCCAAACCAGTTAGTTTTGAGGGCTTGGGGCGGGCTGGGGCCCAGTGCTAATGGTGGGACATCCTGGTCACAGAGGCTCCCGGTGAGAAGACCTGGGGGATGACTCCATCTTCATGGTTAGGTTCCAGGTGGGAAGACTAAGGCCTGGTCGTGGGCTTGGAAGGGGCAGCCCAGCCAGGTGCATAGGAGTGGAGGTGGGGGTAGGATTCAGCCCAGGACCCTGGCCTGCTTTGGGCCCATCCCTCTTCCCACTCGGGTGGAATTGGTTTTGCCTCATCTGGCATCTAGTCGAGGGGGTGGGGCAACTCAGTCCGCACCGGGCCACTCCTGCTGGGGGTGTCATGGAGCCTGGGATCTGTCCACACACCACATCCATCCCTCCTTCAGGCTCCTCACCAAGCTCTCCACTTGTCTGGGGGTTGGAGTCCGCCTCACTGAAAAGATGAGGCAGGGACCTGGCTAAGGTCCCGTTAGACAGCTGAGGGGCTCGGTCTTCACTCTGCTGGTGATCAGCTTCCGCCTGCCAACCCGGAGGTGCGGACTGTCAGGGCACCGGAGGCCCTCGCCCTGGAGGGGAGCTGGACTGCCACGTGGGGCTCACATGTGTGGCCCCTGAGCAGTTTCCTGGGCGCCCGGCCTGGCCCCTGCGTTCACCCGGTACTTCAGGTAGGAAAGGTACGTGTCCCAGCCCAGGGTCAGGCCGTTGATGTAGGTGACTCGGAACTGGGGGGGCACAAAGAGGAAGTTCACCAGCTGCGCAGGAGGCCACACGCACCAGTCAGCCTGCGGGGAGGCACAGAGTGGGGTTAAGGGTGGGGCCAGGGAGCTGCGGGGGGAGGACAATGAACGGGGCGGGCGGGGCCCGGGATAACATGCCCACCTTGTAGAATTCCCAGAACTTGTCCCGAAGCTCCTGGCAGCTCTCTTCCAGGGACTGGCCCTCCAGGCTGCCAATACCTGGGGAAGAGGTGCGGTGTCAAAGGTCAGGGAGTCCAGCCGATGGAGCCCCAGGGGAGGGACCCCTGAGAGACAACTGCCCCAGGCAGAGGGACCTGACAGTTAAGGCCCGCTCAGCAGTGTTGTAGGTGGGAGAAACCCAGTGCGGGAGGCAGGTGCACCCGAGGGACAGAGAGACACGCCCTCCTGATGCTCGGGCTTTTATTACCGGTCCTTCCCAGACAGGAAACAGCCTGCGGGGTGGGGAACAGGGGAGGACTTTCTTCCTAGAGGCAAAGGCTGGGGTGACTGACCCATCAAACCCCAGGCTCAGCTCTTCCTCCTCCAGGCTATTGCTCTACCTGCTGACTCCTTCAAGTTTCAGAGTTCCTCCCTCTGGGAACCCCTTCCAACCCTTCCCCCCAGGGCAGCCCCATCAGACACTGTCCTCATCCCTCCTACCCTCAGTACCACTGTCGGTGCTCCTGCCCGTTCACACCTGCCCCCACCAGGTCTGTCCTGGGACCCCGCCTCCAGTCCGGGACCACCCACCAAGGGAGGTGCACCCTCCCTAACACAGGCTGCTCTGCCCCTCCTGGCCCATGAGGGTTTGCAAAGCTCAAGCTTCCGGGGCTCCTTACCCAAGAAGTACCAGACACCCAGCAGGGGAGAGGCCACCAGCTGGTCGACGAGGACCTTCCTGAGGACGTTCGGAAGCCCACGGAGGCCGGACGCAGGGAGCAGGCGGTCCAGCCAGAGGTACCAGTAGTGTAGGAAGGGGCCCATGCTGCAGCCCACAGCAAACATGCTCACTGAGGGCAGTCCAAGGGGGGGGGGGGCAGGTCAATACCTGAAACCTCCCCCTCCACTCTCTCCCTGGGTAAGCCCAGTGCCCTTCCCGAGACCACCCGGATCCTCTCCCACTGCCAGGCACCCTTCCAGGGGCTGCTTTTACACCTCACCTCATCCCTTCACCCCCCTGCGAGAGGACTCCACCAGCGCCCCTATTTCCAGAACAGGAAACCGAAGCACAGCAGAAAGGGAAATCTGAGGCCAGGGCACACTCCCAGGCTGCCGGGGGTCCCGCCACCATGTGTCCTTGACTACCCCGGGCGCAGCTTCCCAGGCTGAGTGCTCAACCCCTCAATGCAGGTGGGAGAGATGCAGATGTAGGAGGTGGGAGGGGACCAGACTCTTCCAAGCTGGAGGAAATGGAGACTGGGGAAGGGATGGGGCAGAGGCCCGGGTGGGAGGGGAGACCCGGACAGGGGCTGTCAGGGGCTGTCAGGTTATAGGGTGCTCGCGGAGATCCAGGGTCCTGCCGGGGACTCGGCCCACGGATTAGGGGTCATGGCCCGCGGGTACGGTCCCGGGGTTTCCAAATCTGAGGTCGGGTCAAAGGTCCCCTGGGGTCAAGGACTAGCGGCATCGGCCTTCTCACCTGAGCGCCGCGGGTCGAACTTCTGGCCGGGCCGGGCGCGGATCTCCCAGGACTGGCGCGCGCCGTCCCCCGCCGCCATGAGAACGCCGCAGCCCAGCGTGTTGGTAAAGAGCAGCGCGCGGCCTTGGAACATGGGCTGCCCCACGGCCCACAGGCCACGCAGCCAGCGCCAGCCACCCGACGCCATCGCGCGCGGGGGATCCAGGAACCGGCGCTCCGGGCCAGCCTGCCCGGCGCGACCAATCGTGCCGCCGGGATGTGCTGACTGCTCGGTGCTCCGCTTTGCCCGCCCTGAGAGATGTCATCCAATAAAAGGCCGACTTCCTACCCCTCGGCCAATCCCTGAACGAAGACACGCATGGCCGTGTAGACCAATCACAAGCGTCGCACCCCATCACGCCTGCCAATTGCTGAGGTATCACTCGCGTTTCCCCGCCCCTTTCTCCACTGGCTTAAGGGTAATTATCTTACCATCTCAGACCGCACTGACCAATCTCAGGCCACCATTACGCCTGTCGTCCCACCTCTCGCACTGAGATGGCCAATCACGCTCTATGGTTTTAGCCTTTCCTATTTCCAGATTCTCGCGAGATTCCTGAGTAGGCGGGCAGACCAGTGGCCATGTCAGCTACCGGGGCGGAAGTCTAATCCCACAAAGACTCACGGTATTGGAGGTGGGGCTACAGTTCCACGGGTCCAGAACTTGACCTTGGTCTTGACTTTTAGCTGGGCTTCTGACCTTAGTGCCACAATAATAATGAAATTGTTAGGCACTGTTCCAAGCACATTACGTGCAGTAATTTGTTTGGCAGCAACTCTGCTGCTGCACAAATAATCATATACCCATGGTATTTCCTGTGTTACTGTAAGGGAAAATGTGAGTTTCCACGGAAACCTATGCATTCACCTACAGAAATAGGATGTCACAAACTGCAGCCTGCGGGCCAGATCCTGTCACTGCCTCTTTTTGTGAAGCCCACGAACTAAGAATGTTTCTTACATTTTGGCATTGGTCAGAGGGAAATCAAAATAATATGGGGCATATGAAAATTACATGAAATTCAAACTTCTGTGCCCATTCGTGTCTGTGTTGTTTGATCTCATTACAACGAGGAGTTGTAACAAAGACTTTGGCCTATAAAAACTATAAACTATTTATTATATGGCACTTTACAAAAAAAACAAAAATTGCCTTTCAGCATATTCTGGTTCTGATTCTATGGAAACTTTTTTATTATTATTATTAAATTATTATCTGTGTACATATGCCATTGCCCGCCCCCCATTCATGCCTTCCCTCCCCAGAGTTTTGTGTCCATTGGTGGTACTTATATGCATGTGTACAAGTCCTTTGGTTGATATCTTATTTCCCCCAGATCTCCCTCCCCTCCCTGCTGTAATTTGACAGTCTGCTTGTTGCTTTACTGTCTCTATATCTATCTTTTTTTAAAAACATATTTTATTGATATTTTACAGAGAAGAAGGGAGAGAGATAGAGAGCTAGAAACGTCGATGAGAGAGAAACATCGACCAGCTGCCTCTTGCACACCCCCTACGGGAGATGTGCCCGCAACCAATGTACATGCCCTTGACCAGAATCGAACCTGGGACCTTTCAGTCCGCAGACCGACGCTCTACCACTGAGCCAAACCGGTTTCGGCTATATCTATCTTTTGGTTCTTCAGTTTATAATGTTCTTTATCATCCATAAATAAGTGAGGTCATGTGATGTTTCTCTTTCACTGACTGGCTTATTTCACTCAGCATGATGTCTCCAGTTCCATCCAGGTTGCCGCAAATGATGAGAATTTCTTCTTTTTTATGGCAACATAATATTCCATTATGTAGAGGTACCATAGTTTTTGGATCCAATCATCTGCTGACGGGCACATAGGCTGTTTCCAAATCCTAGCTATTGTAGATTGTGCTGCTATGAACATAGGGGTGCATATATCCTTTCTGATTGGTGTTTCTAGTTTCTTGGGATATATTCCCAGGAGTGGGATTACTTGGTCAAATGGGAGTTCCATTTTCAGTTTTTTGAAGAAGCTCCATACTGTTCTCCACAGTGGTTGCACTATGGAAACTTTTGTTAACATAAAAACATTCAAACCTGTAAAGAATTTTTATGAGTTTATTTGAGCCAAACTGTTGACAATGGCCAGGAAGCAGAGCCTCAATGGATTGAGATAATGCTCCAGAGGATGGCAGTTTTTTCATCTATTTTATACATTGCAATCAAATGGGTTACATGAAATCCACTGGTGATAGATTAGAGAGGTGGGAAAAAAGCAAAGGGTGGGGGTACCTCTGGGACTGGATGAAAAGTAAAACGATAGACACATTGATGTATGGTAGCAATCATCTCAGGTAGAAACTGCTGTTTGGGTTCTGCATTTGTTTGCTAAAATGATAGAAAGTTATTTTGGCCGAAACCGGTTTGGCTCAGTGGATAGAGCGTCTGTCTGCAGACTGAAATGTCCCAGGTTCGATTCCAGTCAAGGGCATGTACATTGGTTGTGGGCACATCCTCAATAGGGGGTGTGCAAGAGGCAGCTGGTCGATGTTTCTCTCTCATTGTTGTTTCTAGTTCTCTATCCCTCTCCCTTCCTCTCTGTAAAAAAATCAATAAAATATATTTAAAAAAATAAAATAAAGTTATTTTGATTTTCTGAACTTATATATGCTATCCCAATACTCCATTGATGTGGTTTGAATATCCCATTGATTGTGATCTCACTGGTTCCTGAAGCACATTCTTCTGAGAACCAGGACAGCTCAATTATTCCAAATTAGAGGCCTGGTGCAAGAAATTCATGCACAGGGGCATGGAGGAGGGTGTCCCTCAGCCCAGCCTGCACCCTCTCCAATCTGGGACCCCTCGAGGGATGTCTGACTGTTCGTTTAGACCCAATCCTGGTGGGATCGGGCCTAAACGAGCAATCGGACATCCCTCTCACAATCTAGGACTGCTGGCTCCCAACTGCTCATGTGCCTGCCTTCCTGATTGCCCCTAACTGCTTCTGCCTGCCAGCCTGATCACCCCTAACCACTCCCATGCCAGCCTGATTGATGTCTAACTGCTCCCCTGCCAGCCTGTTTGTCCCCAACTTCCCTCCTTTGCCAGCCTGATCACCCCTAACTGCCCTCCCCTGCAGGGTTGATCTCCTCCAACTGCCCTTCCTTGCAGGCCTGGTGCCTCCCAACTGCCCTCCCCTGCTGGCCATCTTGTGGTGGCTATCTTGTGTCCACATAGGCGCAGGATCTTTGACCACATGGAGACAGCCATATTGTGTGTTGGAGTGATGGTCAATCTGCATATTACTCTTTTATTAGATAAGATAGAGGCCTGGTACATGGGTGGGGACCAGCTGGTTTGCCCTGAAGGGTGTCCCGGATCAGGGTGGGGGTTCCTTTGGGGTGTGGGTGGCCTGAGCAAGGGGCCTCTGGTGGTTTGCAGGCCAGCCATGCCCCCTGGTGACCCAAGCAGAGGCCCTGGTATCTGGAATGTATTTATCTTCTATAATTGAAACTCTGTAGCCTGGAGTGGAGGCCTGGGCCAGCCAGGGTGTGTGGAAAGCTTTACTTCCTCCATTGCCAGGGGCAACCCTAGCCTCCCACTCTTTCCAGCTCCGTGGCTGCCGCCATTTCTGTTTGGATTTGTTTACTTTTTATAACAAACTTTGTAGCCTTGAGTGGAGGTTTAGGCCAGCAAGGGCAGGCGGAAAGCTTGGCTTCCTCCATTGCCTGGGAAACCCAAATCTCTCTCCTGCTCTTGTGGCTGTAGCCATCTTGGTTGGGTTTATTTGCATACCTGCTCTGATTGGCTGGTGGGTGTAGCAGAGTGATGCTTAATTTGCATATTACTCTTTTATTAGATAGGATTGTCTCAGTAGCTACAGATAACTGAGTTTCAGTTGACTCAGTGGTCCTGGAATCAGAAGAGCACAATTATCCTAAATTGCCCTGGTGGTCCCAGATAATGTGTTACTGTTGATTCAGTGATTCATAGATACTTTAGATAACTAACTTGCTCAATCTCGCCTCTGTAAAATGCTTTTCAAGAAACCGGTTCCTCATTCCATACCCAAAGATGTAATCAATGCCTTTGTGATAGTCTGCCAATATAAGCCAGATGTGGCAAGCTGTCTGGAGTGCTTTTGCTCCCTCGTATGCTGCCAGCTTTTAATAAATGACTCCATAATTCGAGTTTTTGAGGTGTCCTTTGTAAGATGGGGGTTATACTATGGCAACATACTTAGGTGGGTGCGGATAGTTAACAGTCAGCAATTAACATGATAACAAAATAATGAAGAAATTTGTGGTATCTGTCCTGCGCCCAGGCACATTAGACTGTGCCCCAAGGGCTCCAGAAAAAGGGAAGTTACAAGTTACCCAGACATTTGCAGGACATGTTATCATAGATGCAAAAAGACAGGCTCAGTTAAGGTAAAGCATGGCCTTGCCAGTGAAGATACCAGCCTGGGAGGTGATTACCCACCATAACCGCATTTAGTTAAAGTTTAATTTCAGACCCTCCTTTGTGGTTACTTACTTTAGGTCTTTGAGTTTGCAAGCCTGCCATGCAGGCCTCCCCTGAGCTGCTTGTCAGGTCAGCATGTGACCCCTTTTGTCCACACTTATTTTTTTTTTAAATCAATCTTTATTGTTCATATTATTACAAAGGTTGTCCACACTTTTTTTATAGACTGTAGTTATAACTGATAACAGCAAAAAATAATCTTTGCCTATGGACATGCAAATGAATTCTGCCAGGTGGAAAGACATTGTCCCCCAATTATTTTTGCCTTACTTTGCATATTCATTTTAATATCCTGATATGTTTGTTCTTTAGATCTCCTTTAAAATGGTGTTAACACCTGACCATTTGTCCTCATTTATAATAAGTTAACAATTTTTTTTAAGTTAACAATTTTTAACACATGCCCATTTTTACATCTGTGTGAGAATCATGACTTTACCTGTTTTGGCAAAATTATCCTCCAGCAATTACTGCTGTCAAGTACCTCGGCCTGGTATTACAGACTTTAGGTTTTACTGATCTTGGTGGAAATCTTCCAGCATGCTTTAAAATGTCCAATTTTGATTCATAGGATAGTCAGGTAAACTTCATCAACAACCACATCCAAGAAAACAAGTTTCACTTTGGGGAGCTGATGTCTATAAAATCTTCTGTTAATGTAAAAAAAAAACCACATTGAAACTTGTAAAGAATTTTTGTGAGTTTATTTGAGCCAAACTGTTGACACATGCAGGGAAGCAGAACCTCAATGAATTGAGATAATGTTCCGGAGAATGGCGGTTACATTTGTATTTATATATTGCAATCAAAGGAGGGACTTAGGTGGATTACCTGGAATTCATTGGTGATAGATTAAGGAGGTGGGATAAAGCAAAGCGAGAGAGGGGGGGGGGGAACACCTGGGATGGATAAAAAGTAAAATGAAAGAGAAGAAGAAAAAAGTAAAGATAAAAATTATGAACAATAAATACATATCTATCAACAAGTGAACCTAAAACTTAAAAATATGAGGAACAGAATAAACTGGTGAATATAATAGAATCAGGGGCATAGAAAGGGAGTGGACCGATAATTCTCAGGGGGAAAGGGGTGTGGGGGCGTATAGGAAGAGACTGGACAAAAATCATACACCTACGGATGAGGACAGTGGGCGGGGGGGAGGGAGGTAAGGGCAGAGGGTGGGGTGGGAACCGGGTGGAGGGGAAAAAGGAGAAGCAATTGTAATAATCTGAACAATAAAGATTTATTACATTCTAAAAAAGTAAAATGATGGACACATACTTAGATAGGTGCAGGGATAATTAACATGATAATGACGGAATCTGTGGTATCTGTTCTGTCCAGACACATTAGGTTGTGCCCCAGAGGCTCCAGAAGAAGGGAAGTTGCGAGTTACCCAGACATTTCAAGGGTGTGTTATCATAGATGCAAAAAGACAGATAGGCTCAGTTAAGACCTGCCTAGGACAGTAACTGCCCACCATAACTGCTTTTAGTGAAAGTTTAATTTCAGACCATCTTTTGTGGTTCCTTTAGGTCTCTGAGTTTGCAAGCCCGCCATGCAGGCCTCCCCTGAACTTGTCAGGTCAGCACGTGGCCCCTTTGGTCCACACTTCACAGGAAAACTGATGCATAACTGCCTTGCAGGTTCAGTCTTACAGGTCGATCCTGGCCCACTGTGACTCTTGTAATATTTGAGGGATGTAAGAAATAAACCTCTGTGATCCATCTTCAGCACAGTCAACGTGTAATGGAAACGGTTACTGAATTTCCCCAGGGCAAACAGAATGTAGGGAGGAGGGGAGAGGGTATAAGAACAAGGAACTGTGTACACTAGCCAGTGTCATGGCGGAAATCCCCAAGGTGCTGCCTCAACTGGACCGGGGTAAGTGGAGACAGCTAGAAAAGGCCTCTCAGCCCATTTTAAAAAATAACCCAGTAAGACCTAGGCGATGTGTGAGGAAACTGTAAACCCCATAGCACTCAACCAATGAGGAGCTGGAGGAGGGACTCTCGCACCTGGGGAATAAGTAGGCTGTGATCCCTACTCCTTGTGTACCTGTACAGCCGAGGGACACTGCTCTGGAGAACGTGTTAAAGACCTCATTTCGCCATGCTTCTGTCTCCTAGTTCATTATTTTAAGTTGGACAGCTGAACATTTCTCACAGGGGCTATCAAGCAGAAATAAGCCTTGTCTGGCCGGTGTGGCTCAGTGGTTGAGCATCAACCTGTGTACCAGGAGGTCACGGTTCTAGGTTCTATTTCTGGTCAAGGCACAGGCCTGGGTTGCAGGCTCCGTCTCCAGGAGGGGGCATGCGGGAGGCAGCTGATGATGATTCTTTCTCATCAATGTTTTTGTCTCTTTCTCCCTCTCCCTTTCTCTCTCTGAAATCCATTTAAAAAAGAGAAGAAAGTGGCCCTGGCTTAGAGTATTGATTAGAGAATTATCCCAAAACACACAGGCTATGGGTCTGTCCCCAGTGAGGGCACATAAAGAATCAACCAGTGATCACATAAGTAAGTGGAACAAATCAATGTTATTTCTCTCTCTCTCTCTAACCAATTAAAAAAAAAAAGAATATTCACCCTAACCGGTTTGGCTCAGTGGATAGAACGTTGGCTTGCAGACTGAAGAGTCCCAGGTTTGATTCCAGTCAAGGGCATGTACCTTGGTTTTAGGCACATCCCCAGTAGGGGTTGTGCAGGAGGCAGCTGATCAATGTTTCTCTCTCATCAATGTTTCTAATTCTCTATACCTCTCCTTTCCTCTTTGTAAAATACAGAAATAAATAAATAAATAAATAAATAAATAAATAAATAAAATATATATTTTTAAAAGAACTTACCAAGAGGCATAGATACTGCAAGGTGAAACCTGGTCCACTTTCTCATCTTTAGTTAGCCAATGATAGAGGCTTTTCAAAGTCCAACCTGATATTCCTTACAGAAACTTCCAGCAAAGCAAACTGAATGCCTGCTGCTTCCTGGTAAATCATCAGGACATATCTAGTTAGATCTGCCAACGAAGTTCTTTCTTTGATATTCTTTTATTAATATATATATTTTTTATTGATTTCAGAGAGAAAGGGAGAGGGAGAGAGATAGAAACATCAATGATGAGAGGGAATCATTGATTGCCTGCCTCCTGCAAGCCCCCTACTGGGGATTGAGCTCACAACTGGAGCATAGGCCTGACCCGGAATGGGACTCGGATCTCCTGGTTCATAGGTTGACACTCAACCACTGAGTGACACCGGCTGGATAGTATTCTTTTTAACAAATATTATTCGACCACAAAAAAATAGAAAGCCATCTTGCAATTTGTGACAATACGGGGGAACCTGGAGGATACTGTGCTAAGTGAAATAAGTCAGAGGACAAATAGTGTATGACTTTATTTCTATGTGGAATTTAAAAAAGTAAAACTCATAGGAACAAAAGAACAGCAGTTGTCACAGCCGGGGGTGGGGGAAATGGAAGGATATTGAAGGGTTTATTAAACTCGTTTCGATGTAGCACCATTCTCAGCGGTAGATTCCTGATCGTGGGGTAAAATGTTGAGTCTGGACTCCATGGGATGTGTACGTTATCTGGATGGTGAGCTGTAGCCGCTGAGTCAGGGGTCAGGGGTGGAGCTCATGCTTCCATCGGCTTCCTCCAAGGCAGCGGCTGTCACTTGAAGCAGACGTCCCTGTGGGAGCTGGGCTGGGCTGGGCAGAGCTCTGGCTTCTCACCCTGGAGGAGAGAGTCCGTGAGTTGGGGGCCCGAAAGAGGCCCTCCCCCCACCCGATGCCTCCCTCCGGCTTACCTGGTACAGCTGGCACACGAGGGAGAGGAGCTGGTTTATGTCTTCCAAAGGTTTCTGCACAAAGCAAGACAGGAGGTCACGAGGGCTACCTGCCTGACCACCCCATGCCAGGCCCGGAAGGGGTTGCAAATGGCCCCGCGTCTGGCCCCTGCCTCCCATCTCCCAGGCTGGTGGGTACATCCATCACCCTGGTCCCTGCCCAGGGCCGACCCGAGGGCCACAAGTTTCTTACCCCATTGACGAGGACCCAAGGCACATACTCATGGGGCGGCTGCAGAGCGCCTGTAAGTTGGGCGTTCACGTGCAAGAGCTGGGTGCCGCGGTCCCCCATGGCACACTCCATGATGGCATCGGGGGACTCCTTCGGGGCATAGATCTGCAGGCACTGAGGGCAGAGGAGGGTCAGTGAGCCTGAGCTGTCTCCTTATTATCCCCCCAACAGTCCCCCTCGGGGCCCCCCCGAGCCACGTTTCTGTTTCCTCCCTGGCCATAAGGGACAGTCGGGTCCAGAGCAATGTAACAACGCATGTAAACAGCAGGCGCTTCATACATGCCTGAGTGAGGCCCCTGAGGCAGAAGCTCAGGCTGCTCCTGAGTCTGCTAGGACCAGACCTTCAGCCCTGGACGCCCACATTTTCCTCAGAGCTTGTATCTGTGCTGTTCCCTCTGCCGGGAGCACCCCCCTCCAGCTTCCTCAGCATCCCCTCAAGGCTCCCTCCCCCTCTGTGCTCTCCTAGCCCCAGTACGTTCCACAGGGCTGGGGTGCCTCGGGGTGAGTCCTCCCGGTGGCCTGAATAGTTGATGAGTGAATACTTGACCGGGACAGGAGAGTCATTCCTTTGGGAGCTCCTTTTCGTAACCTTCCGGGGAGGTGGGCGGGCCTTCTGGTCAGCCCCATACCCCGGCGGAGGGTCATCGTCTGTGTCCCCACACCCTCCTGCTCCCGGAAGCCCAGCTCAGAGGCCCCTCCTAGCAAAAGCACGCCCTCCGCTCCCCGGGCCCCAGGAGATCCTCCTGCCCCGGGTTCACAGACTGAGGCTTAGAAAGGAGAGCATTCCCCTGGGGCCGTCCAGACAGTGGCTGTGGGGACAGGACTTGCGCCTGGTTCCCTGAGTGTAGGGAAGGCCAGGGCCCCCCAACCCAGGCCACGTAAGGGTCTCCCTCACCGGCTTCAGATTGCCCTCCATGTCATCCAGTTCCTCTAAGCAGACGATGGTTAGGAAGGCTGCGCTCCACTCTAGCTGGTCCAAGAGGCAGGCCTAGGGGCGGGCGGGCAGAGGCCTGAGAAGGGCCCAGAGCACGCCAGGACCCCTCTGGTAAGAACCACGGGCCCCGTTAGCAAAGCAATGAACGGAGACACATGGGCAGGGGAGAGAGCTGCTCCAATCCCGCCTGAGCCCGGATTTTACCTTCATTACCCCCCCAAGCCTCCCGGGCCTCCGGCCCCCCGCCCCCGTGGGGCCCTGGGGGCTGCTCACCTCCACCTTGTTAAGCTTGCACTCCTCCTCTCCGTGCTGGCACGAAAACTCCCACTTGCCGCTGACATTATGTTCCTGCAAGGCAGCGAGGTGAGTGCGGCCGGCTCCCCCGGGGAGTCTCCCAGTCCCGGCCCCGCCTCAGGGTCCCCGGCGCCGGTGTACCTGGGCGTTTCCGTACGGCACCAGCGTGACATTGAGGATCTCGTTGACCATCAGCCACGTGGGGAACAGCTCCCGGACCAGGAAGGCCCTGCAGCCCCCGCACAGGGCCTCGTAGTAGAGGCTCACGTTGACGCGAGGCGAGGAGGGCTTCCCCAGGGGCGCCAGTGGGCACGGGAGACCGGCCTGGGCAGGGGGAAGGGGTGGGAAGTACGTTTAGCTCTGCTCCGTTCCCTTGCAGAAAGGGAGAGCCAAGCAGTAAGCGCCCCGTCCCGAGCGCACTCTTGACTCTGAGGCTTTCCTGAGCCCTTAAATCTGCTTGGCTGCAAACCAGACGGGGCAGACCTGTATACCGCAGGCGATTCATTCATGCACAGCTCCTGCTTTTCTCCAGGTGAGGTGAAACCTCGGGCCCAGGGGAACCGTTTACGGTAAGGACTCGAGGCAAGAACATTTCTGGCCCCTGACCTCAATCCTGCCTTCCCAGAGGTGCATACCGCAGGAGACTAATGGATGCTCATCTATTGCCACTTCATTTTCAGAGCCTGGCCCTTACACCTGCTCTGACTCCTCTTCCTCTCCAGGGACCCACGGAACCCCTCCCACGGGGCCGCGAAACCCTTCCCACGTCCACGGCGGAGGTGGCGCCTAATAAGTGCTGACTTCCGGCTCCAGCCGAGTGGGGGCGCAGGCACCCAGGGTTGGAGCCGGCCGCCCCGCCTCCGAGGCGCGTGCTGGCCCCAGAGACCCGGGAGCTCTCCCTTGGCCGAGGCGCATCCGATAGGGATGCGGGCGCCATGGGCAGCTGGCCTGGGCTCCCCCTGACCCCCCACCCCACCCCCCAGGTGTGCACAGGTGCTCGGGGACGCAGGGGGGACAGCGAGCGTCTCCGCTGGAGACGGGAAAGCGAAAGTGCTCCGAGAGCGCGGCCAGAGCCCGGGGTTAACCGGGGGATTTCGGCCCCGGCGGGGCGGTCCCCCCAGATCGCAGGGAGCCGCCGGGCCGGGTCCGGGGAGGAGGCGAGCCGCCCGCCGCCGCCCAGCGGCCCCTACCTGGCAGGGGGCCGCCCCCCGGAGGAGCGAGTCCAGCGGGGCGCGCGCCTCGGCGGGGACCCGGAGCAGCAGCGCCAGCAGGAGCGGCAGGAGCGGCGACCCGGCCATCGCGGCGTGGGCTGGGGCGGCGACAGGAGCAGCCGGGGGAGGGCGCCGCCTTTAACCAGGTCCTGGCCCTGCCCCCGGGCCGGACCCGCCTCCAGGGCCCACGCCCCTCGGGGCCGGGCTGGTGTCTCTGGTGTCTGCCATTCCCTCTGGGCCTCCCCCTCTCCAGCCTCCCCCCCCTCCCCCACCGCCAGGTGCTGGGACAGCAACCACTTGGCCATCCGGCCGCCGCTCAGGGCCGCTCAGCGGTTCACCTCACCCTCACTCCAGCCCAGAGACTGGGATCTGGGATCAAGCTGGGATCAAGTTCCTGGAGCGCCCGTGGGGTGGGGACAGACACAGAGAGGGAGACGGAAGGGTCTTCTGGCCCCACAGAGCCCTTGGGGCAGCTAGGGTGGTCTAGCCCTCTGCCCTGGCCCAGCATCCATGCACCGCAAGGGGCTGGGGAGGGCGGGTGTGACTCCCTACCTGGGAGCGGGCACTGGTGCACAGCCCGGGACCCTTTCCCTCACCTGGCCCAGGACCCCCGTCACTCCTAGCCCAGGGGCCCTGCCGCTCACCCCTGCCCCAGTCCACCCCCCAGCCCAGATACAGTCCCGAGGGGCTGACTCAGACTTGGCCGCAGCTGGGCCAGAAAGCAGAAGCCAGAGCTGTAGGACCTCTCACTTCTCTTGGCCCCCCCGACTCCGGGGGGTGGGGGGGAGGAAGCTGGTGGTCATTCTCCCCAAGGCCAGGGGTTTGGAGGGGAGGGGCGGCGGTGAGCATCCCGGTTCCCAACAAGCTCCCAGCAAGTGCCTGGGGGGTTGGAGCAGTAATCACCGAAGCCTGTACTATGTCCAGGGGTGGAGGGTGGGGATGCCATGTAGGACCCAAGTCAGCCAGACCAGGTTCGCCCCAGGACTGTGTTGGGCACCTCAAGTGATGGGTCCCTGGAGAGGAAGAGGAGTCAGAGCAGGTGTAAGTTTCCCAGTCTACAAAAAGGGAGAAGAGGGAGGTTTGGGAATGAAGCCACCACGGAAGACTCGGAGGCAGAGGGAGAGTTGCCTGGGGAGGGGGTGGGGCAGCTGGGCGGTGACCCTGGGAGGGGCTGACCCGGGGCGGCAGCAAAGGGACAGAGTGACCGGGCTGGAGGACTGGAAGCTGGGAGGCCTGGGAGAAGGACTGAGATAGTCACACTTCGCAAGGGCTCACATTCCGGTCGTGACACAGTCAGACCTCACCTCACGGGAGGGAACGCCCACCACCTGCTGGGAAGACAGCCAACGCCCGTGGCCACCGCTCCCACAGCCGCGTCCTCCCCCCCCCAGGCCCGGGAAGCGCGGCCTGCACACACAGGCCCTCAGCCACGGGCTGGGAGCGGGCTGGGCCTGAGGTCCCCATGGCTGACGACCCACCCTTACCATCCCTTTAGACCCGTAACAAAACCCACGTCCACCCTGACGTCTCTGCAACACGAAGCAGCACAGCTCTGGGAGCCGGTTGGGTGCTCTCCGTGCCGGGCGGGATGGGAGAAACAGAGAAGTACAGTTGTGAGGCTTATAGGGCAATAAACCCTCAGCGGCCATCGCTAAGCTCCCGCCTCAGGAGAACAGAAGCCCAGGGAAAACTTGCTGGAAGTCAGGCCACTCAAGGACTGGAAACTGTCCTGAAGGCACCGGACAGCCTGCATTCCCAACCCACCCGCTCAGCCCCCAACCCTGCTGACGACAAGCTTCCCACCAGTGGCTGCACACAGAGATGGAACTGGAGCCACTGGGCGCCGCCATCAGGACCCAGAGTCCCCGTGGCTCAGCGCTGTGCAGCCCTTCCCTTTGGACATTTCATCCCCAACCCCTTCCCTTAAATAATTTCCGTTTTCCTTAGTCACCACCGGAGATGGCTATTCAGCCTGCCACGTGCACCACCCACCACGCTGACCTTTCAGTACCTGCTCACAGCTCTGGATGGACTCACACACAGCCCCGGCTCACGGGGAAAGCTCTTTGGGTGGATTGGGAGGGGTTGTGACTATCTATCGCACTTGGCAACAGGGACGTCACACATCAGGGTATGGCCGGTGGCCGAGGGCTGGGACTCAAACCTAGGGGGCCAGTCAAGAGCTGGGTTGGAGTCTGGGGTCCCCTGATCAAGCTAGAGTTCAGGGTTTGAACCTCTCTGCTGTGTGACCTGCTGAGGTCAGGTCTCTCAACTTCTCTGGACATAAGCAGCTACCCTGGGGGGTGGGGGGTGGGGTTGTGGGCCCTCACGGGCAGCCCGGGTTAAACTCAAGCCCATCTGTGTGACCCCGTGAATGCCAGGGCCCCTGGTGGCCACGGAGAAGGCCCACCGATAACAGAAGCACCCACCGAGCTCCATGTTTTATATCCACATCAGTGTCAGCGTACCATACAAAACCCGCCTGCCAGCCTCGCTGGGCAGGCAGGGGGGCGCGGGGGTGTCCATGGCAGCATAGAAAACCGGGGTTCTTGTCCCAAAAGAGGAGGACATGGGTTTACAGTCAAGGGAACAAAATCAGAACCAGCATGATCGAGGAGGAGCCTTGAGGCGGCGTGGAGCGGAGGGGCTGTGGGCGGCCGTGCGTGTCGCCGGCCCAGGCTGCAGCGGTGGCCTCGGTTCCGTTCCCGGGAAGCCCGGGGTTAGGCGGGGCCCAGCGCTTGAGGTTATTTTTAATCATTTGCTTCTGGGGGAGGAGGGCTTCTGGGCAGCAGCTCCACAGGGGGGAAACCGGTGCGGGTTTCACTTCAGGGTTTGGAGGGGGAAGTTGTGTCTGTGGGGCGTCGGGACCCGCCCGGCCCTCAGTGTCACAGCGGAGGTTCTTGGAAGAGGCCCAGCGAAGTTCCTTCCTGCCGTCCTCCTGCCCGGCCCCGGGTCTATGGCTTAAAAATCAGGGCACCAGGCTGGGGCCTTTGTAAACATGGCAGGTCCAGGCAGGGGGAGCAGCCAGAGCCAGGGGCGGGCAGTGCCCATGGGGGAAGGCGACAGAGGGCGGAGGAGGTAAGCTCCTCAAACAGAGACTGAGAGAGACAGAGGACAGAGATGGGGATAGAAAGAGTGACAGGAAGAGAGAGGCTCAGAGAAAGCGAGAGACAGAGACAGAGACAGAGAAAGATTCACAAAGAAGAGGGACAGACAGACAGACAGATGGAGTCCTGCTCTGTGTGAGTCAGCGGGCGGCGGGGGGCGGCCCGGGGCCCGGGGCCCGCACGGGGTGAGCCAGGGTGACGGTGAGGGCGTCGTTGTGTTGCACGAGGGAGGTGTGCTGGTAGTGCAGCACCAGCTCCTTCAGGGACCCGTACAGGTTGTAGGGCTCCGCGAAGCCCAGGCCGGTGGCCGTGCGGTAGATGACACAGTGCTTGGTGTCGCCGTCCACCCTGTGGGTGAGCAAACAGGCGGTCAGGGGGGCACGCCAGGGGCTCCCCCGGCCGCTCCCTCAATTCTCAGACCCTGACCTGGTCCAGCCCCCAACATCTCTGGCCTGGACACTGTCCCAGCTTCCTCCCCTACCCCCAGTAATCCCTTCTTCCCAGCTGTCTCCCCGAAGCCTAGCACGCAGGAGGTGCTCAGGAAGAGCTCCTGGCAGAACAGGGGCCCCCGCCCCCAGGGCACTCACACCACAGAGCAGGCGTAGCAGCCCCGCTGGCTGCTCTCCCGGATGAGGAAGGTCCCGTCCCGCTTGCCGCTCAGCATCTCCTCAGCCTGCGTGCGGTTGATCTTGCCCACATACCAGGTTCGTTCCTCGTGGTGGGGGAGGTCCTCCTCGTCCTCCATCAGCGCGTACTGGCTGTGGGGGAGGCGGGGAGGGGCGCTGGTCACAGACCCGCCGGCCTCTGAGGCCCCCTGCCACCCGGACCACAGCACTGCCTTCCTGGCGAACTCCTCCTCATTCTGCAAAACCCACCCAAGCGGCCCTTCTCCCGGGAAGCCCTCCCTGCTGCCCTTCACGTGGTCACTCACTCTTCAGTCTCATTTTTGATTCCCAGCCACTCGTTGATTTTCTTCTGCCGGGCGCCTTTCTGGGTGAGCCATCTGGGAGGAAAAGGGAAGGTGGGTGGGGCAGCAGAGGCAGGGCCAGACCACAGGGGTCCAGTCCAGTCCAGCCAGCCCCGAGGCAAGAGCTGACCCAGGAGGGTGGGTTTGGGTCCAATACCACCGGTTGCCACAAGGGGCAGCCTGAAGGTAGAGGAGCCTGGCTGGCTCTGCCAGGAACCCCCCTATCTATTCTGTCTCTGTTAACCCTGGTGGAGCCTCCAGCGCGGGCCACCCGCAGGGTCATATCCCCACCAGAGACTCCGCCTCAGGGGCTGCACACAGTGCTATGGGCCTTCCCACGCACAGCGGTTATCTGTTCTGCGTCTCAGGTTTCCTCGCTGGAAAGGGGAAAGCTTACAAAGGCCTTGGAGAGACAAAATGCGTGCGTGCAGGGCTGCTCAGCACAGTGCCGGGCGTGTAGCAGGTGCAGGCAAGCATCGAAGGCCCAGGCGGGAAGAGAGCCCTTGCCCAGGTCCTCATGTTGGGGTCACGGGCAAGCGCGGGGCACTCACACCAGGTACTGGTCTCGGATCTTGCGCAGCTGCATGAGGTCTGGCTTCAGGCTGTTCATGCGCTTATCGATCTCCCGGTTGTCCAAGGCCTGTGTCCGCAGCTCCTGCTCCAGCTTCGTGCGGCTCTCGTGGATCTCGGCGATGCGGGACTTGAGCCGTTCTGAGTTCAGCAGGATCCTGGGGGAGGCGTGGCTCGGAGGCTGTGGATGGCTCCCAGCCTCCAAGCCTTTGCACATGCTGTTTCCCCGATTTCTCCTCTGGTGAACTCCTATTCAGCCTTCAAAGCCCATTTCAACTGACCCTCCCTCCCTGAGGAATTCCAGCTGCCCCCTCTATTTCTATTTCTTTCCCACTAGATAGGGTGGGGTGGGGCGGGGCAGAGGAGCAGGACTCACCTCTGCATCTCCTTTTCGTTGCCCTCACGCCGGAAGCGCTCCAGGTACTCCTTGCTGCACTTCTCTTGGGTCTGGCCCTGCTCCTCGAAGATCTTGATGGTTTCGTTGAAGGCCTCGATGGCGGTGCGCTTCATCTGCAGCTCCTGGAGGAGGGGCGACTCTTAGCATCACCTTAGCATGAGGGAGACGGCAGACCCCAACCCTTGGTTCAAGCTGTTCCATCCACTACGTATGCCATTCCTCTAGCTCTTATGGCGCCAGACGAACTCCTATTCAACCTTCAATGCCCCGTTTCCCCAAACACACTCCTCTTTGATAACCTCCTTTGGGCACCTTACAAACGCCTAGACTTGTTAGCACTGCTGAGAATCAATGATAAATCTAGTTGCTACCGTTCATGCGGTTCCTTCTGAGTAAATGCTGTTCTAAGCATTTCCCGCGCGCCATGTCACAGAGCCTGCCAACAGCCTCCTACAGAGTCAGAAATATCAATGGGGAAACTAAGACTCAGGGAGCCTACGTCTTGTCCAAGTCATGATGCTCCTAACAGATCCCAGGCAGGCATCTTGTCCACTCAGAGCCAGCAGACGCGTCAGTAAGAAGAGGAAAAGAAAGAAACCCCTTAGGGACCACAGGGGAAGTAAGCCATTCCCAGCCCGAGAGGGACATCTGGTCTGAGCAGACTGCCTCTCAACTTGCCAAAACATCTTTTCAACACAATTCCAGAGTAAGAAAGCCTCCCTTCCCTATTTTAGAAGATGCTGTTCTTTAATGTGACCTCCTGACTGTCTAATCCATCAGACTCCTGTCGGATTAGACAGACAGTTATAGTTATTTATCTGTAAATAACCTCTAGGTTGAAGGGGACGGAGAAGGAATTAAAACACACAGTTCCAGCTTACAGATGGGGAAACTGAGATACTGAGAGATGCACAGGTTAACCGAAACATCTCCCATGTCCTAGCCCAGCTGCTCCTGAGGCTGACTAGCATCATCTCATTTGTTCTTAAAAAAAAAAAAAAAAAAAAAAGAATAAAAACACGTACGCCCTCGCTGGTACCACTCAGTGGATATAGCGTCAGCCTACAGACTAAAGGGTCCCAGGTTCAGTTCCGGTCAAGGACACATGCCCGGGTTGCAGGGTCGATCCTCAGTAGGGAGCATGCAGGAGGCAGCCGATCAATGATTCTCTCGTCATTGATGTTTCTGTCTCTCTCCCTCTCCCTCCCTCTCTGAAATCAATAAAAGCATATTAAAAAACAAAAGCCACCATGTACATTGTTTCTATGCTTTAGGGCCGCTCCTGGTGCTAAGTGACCGCGCTGTGACCTGCAGTGGCTGCCTGTGCCCACAGCCGTGCCCGGCCGCACGCGGGCCGGGGTACCTGGGAGGTGCGCGTGTACTCCTCGTAGAGCTGGTCATACTCGCGGCTCTTGTCCTGGTACTGCTGGTGGTAGACTTTGAGCTGCGCACCCACTGCCTCCACGCTGTCTTCTTTGACAATCTGGTCCTGAGGACACCCAGGGTGACCAGTGAGGCCACCTGGGCGGTCAGGCCCGGGGCCACCCTCTCTGGCTCCTGCCCAGGCCCCAGACCTGCTGGTACTTGGACACGGGGTACAGGAGCCGTGTGTCCAGTTTGGCATTGTACTGGGCCAGGGACTCGTGGCGGTAGTGGGTGATGAGGTCCACGACGGAGCAGAAGGTGAGTGGCTCCGAGAAGCCGTAATGCCCGTCGCGGTGGAAGACCTTAATCAGCTTGTTGTTTCCGCCTTTCCTGGGGTGGGTAAGAGGGGGCGTCACCACCCAGGACCCCAAGCCTGACTGCCAGGTGTCCTGGCTCTGACACCGTACATGGCCTTCTCCCACCTCCCACCCCAGAGGTCCGAGGGGCAGGCCCCCACCTCAAGGTCAGGGTATACTCTCCCTGAATCTTGCTGGAGGCGTCTCGGACCAGGAAGGTGCCGTCAGGGGTGTCCCGGAGTTTGTCATTCACCTCCTCCCTGTGGGGACACCCAGGATTGGGGCACCCATTGGAGACCCCGTCCTCCAGGCCTTGCCTCCCACATGGCCCCCACCCCACAACCCTACCTGGAGATGTCACCCCAGTACCACTCAGCGTCCTGCAGGGAGGGCTGGCTGCCCCCATTGGCCAGCCCTGCGGGGGCGGGCTTTACTTTGGGCGGTTTGGGTGGCAGAGCTGGAGGACAGAACAATCACAGTGAACACCAGTTCCAGGCCGTGGTCGGCTCCCCCGCTACCGAGCCTGCTGATGCCGGCGGGGCCTGTCTTCATTCACCCCCTCCAACAGTAAGAGAGGGTGAGGCAAACGGGGTTCACCTGGGGGTGCGACCTCCTGCTCCTCCAGGTGCTCCTGAAGCAACTTCTCCACCAGCAGGGCTGGGAAGTCGGGGTTGGGCTCAGTCCTGAGGGGAGGAGAGGGGAGTGAGCAGGCAGGGGTATCTGCACACGTGTGTGCACATGGTCCTCGATGTGCTTGCATGCCTGTGTGAGCACACCTGAAGGCTGGGGAGCAGGGCAGATGACGCAGGCAGGTGTGGGGAGCCACTGCGGCTTGTGTGTGCGCAGTGAGCGCTCAATAAATACCCCGAACCTGACGGAGCCCAGCACCTAGAAGGGAAGGTCCAGGCCCCACACAGGTGCCTCTCCTTGGGTCCAGGCCCCAGGTCCTCTGAGGAGGGGGTCTTCCTGAAGCCCAGGTTCACCCCTTATTAGCCTTTCTTCCACCCCAATCACAGCAGCGGTGCCTGCTATTCCCCTTCTCCCCCCCACCCCCCCTCCCGCCCCAGGCGCTGGCTGCTCACCCGACAGGTGCGCCCCCTGGCGGCGGCGGCGGGGGAGGCACCCGCAGCAGCAGAGGCCCGAACGCGGCGCCCAGGGCTCGCACAGCGGGACCCGGGGCCGGGGCGCGCCGGGCCGCCCGGCTCAGGTGCTGGAGCAGGAAGCGCAGCGTGAGCGCGTGATGCAGCGGCAGCGTCGGGGGCTCAAGGGTTGGCCCCACGGGCCCCGTGGCCTCTGCGGACGGACAGCGAAGCGGGATGAGCCGGGCTATCGTACGCTCCGGCCCCTCCGTGCCCAGGGCCCCCCACCAGGCTCACCTCGCAGGGCCCGGCGGGCCTCCGCAGCCGCTTCCGGCGGCACGAGGGGCGCAGGCAGTGCCAGGAGGAAGCCCTTGATGCCATCGGCCAGGGCTGCCGGGTCCCACTGCTCTAGGTCGCTCAGGGACCAGTCTGTGGGTGCAGGAGGGCGATGTCTGAGGGGCTGTTAGGGTGGACGCCCTGTCCCCCCACCCGCTGAAGTGCGCCCTCACCTGTGCTCGGGGCCGGCGGCTCGGGCCTGTACAGGGATTCGCTGTCTAGCCCTGGGGGGGAGGAGGGAGACGGCTGTCAGATGCTGCTCTGATACCTTATGGAGGTGGAGGGTGGTTACTCCACCTCCCAGAAATAAAAGGAGGGGGAGGGGGGCAGAGGTCGCAGCACACGCAAGGGCAAGGGCAGTCCCATCTCCCCTGGGAGTCATTCCTCCCCCAGTTCAAGGAGGCGGGGAGCACCCGAACTCAGCCTTCTCCCGTGCAGACTGAGCCCAGCAGCCCGTTAAGGGATGAGTCGCCCGTCACCGGAATTAAGCAAGCGGAACACAGGGGTCGCATCAAGGCCCAGGCTCACCTGTCCGCTCGACGGCCTCCACCAGCTTCACCAGCAGTGGGGGAGCCACATCGGGTGGGGAGAACTGCTCAGGCAGGTCAGGGAGTGTGAGGCCTGGCAGGGGGGACAGCATGTTGCCAGGATCCCCAGAAAGACCCTCTTGGCCTCCTGCATCTCAGCCGGGGCAGCTGCAGGCAGGGCCCAGCTCAGGCAGGGGCCTGGCTTCTGGACCGCTAGCCAGGGAAAGCCAGGGGCCCTGTGGCTGAGGGCGGGAGGACCACGTTAGTGGCAAACCGTTTTCTGGGTGAAGACAGTCACACCACCTCAGACCAAGCGTAGGAGTTTGATTGGTGTCCCCCCAAATGAGGCCCACAGCCTACCCCCAGCACCTGTGACTGTGACCTTATTTGGAAACAGGGTTTTTGCAGGTAGAATGAAGGGAAGGATTTTGAAATGAGATCATCTTGGGTTTGGAGCCCTAAACGCAATGACTGGCAGCTACAAGAAGAGCCATGTGCCCGGGCCAGTGTGGCTCAGTTGGTTGGAGTATCAACCGGAACGCTGAGGGTTCCATTCCTCATCAGGGCACATACCTAGGTTGTGGGTTCAATTCCTGGCTGGGGTGCATACAGGGAGGCAACCTGTTGATGTGTCTTTCTCACATGGATGTTTCTCTTGCTCCCTTCCTCCCTCTCTAAAATAAATTGAAGAAGAAGGAAAAAAAAAAAAGGAGAGAAGCCATGTTACAACAGAGGCAGAGGTTGGGGTAACGTGGCGGCCATAAGCTAAGGATGTTGGAGCCACCAGGAGCCGGAAGAGGCAGAAGAGATCCCGCACATGGTGTGTGGCCCTGCTCACACTTGATCTTGGACTTCGGATCCGCGGAACCAGGAGAAAACCCGCTCCCGCGGTTGGGAGCCACCTGGTTTGTGGGAGTTTGTGGCCCCGGAAACTCACACAACAGGTTTGGGGCCCAGCCACGGCTCCCTGTGCAGCCTCCGCCCAGGAACTACGTTCCCCGTGCCTCAGTTTCCTCAACTGAGAGACTTTCCCTCTTCCTTTTCGGTGGTGGGCAGAGTTTAACAACGTGGTGGGCAGAGTCTAAACAGAAAATATCCCCATCTTGGTCAGAACTCCTCAGTCCAAAGACATACCTTTACTTTCTAAGTCATTTTGCAGTGAAAAAGTTACCTCCCCGTTTTCAAAATGCTGAAATCACACACACACACACCCCGCCCCGCCCTCCCAGGGAAAGGGGCCTCCCTGGCCCAGCCCCTCAGGCTCTGAGCTTCCCAGGGGCCCTTTGTTTCCAGGCTCCGCCTGCACAGACACCATCTGAGGCGGTTCTGGCCCTCGGCAGGGACGCCCTGGCACACAGCAGGGGCAAGCAGGGGCCTGTGGGCCTCGCTGAGTGATGGGCCAGGTGGTGCCTCAAGCTGGAGAAAGGCCCAGCTCCTGTGAAAAAGCCGGAAGATAAAACAAGGGGCGAGAGGGAGGGGCTGCCACGGCTCGGTGACCGGTTTGTGACACGGGGAGGGAGGCTCCATCAGAACAGCCGTCACCCGTTTTATGGATGAGGACCTGAGGCTCAGAGAGGGAGCAACCAGCCCCGGTGACATTGGGGAGCTGTGCTCGGCACCCCGCATGGGGTGGCATAGAGGAAACAGCGCACCCCAGCATGCTCCCCGGGGTGGTGTGTGTGTGTGTGTGTGGGGGGGGGGGGGTCCCAGGATCCCGCTGAGGCAGGGTCTGAGGCACAAAGAGACCAGTTCTCCCTGTTTTCGGATGAGGAAACTGAGTCTGAGAGTGGCCCCTCCACACCCAGGCACCCAGCCTGGAAAATCTGGAGGGCAGGGCTCCTGCCCTGAGCAGGGATGTGTGTGGAGGCTGGACCCAGGCCAGGCAGGGGAGGGAGGCGGCTGTTACCAGGGAGAGAGGCAGATTCTGGCTGGGAGCCCGGATGGGGCCACCTCCTGCTCTTCCAGGCCAACACGGGGCCCGGGCCCAGGCCCTGGAGACACCAGATGCTGCAAGTCCCAAGTCACCCACGGCCCTAGTGCCCCCGTTCCACCCGCTGTGGGCGTCAGGGTCCCTCTGGCACAAAACCAGGCAGGTCCCGGGGGGTGCGGGGGGGGCCACGGTGCATCCAGGCCCTTTGCCTTCACTGGGTGGTCCTGAGTGCCCGGACTCCCCTGCACCTCAGCCTCCCCATCTGTCCATGGGCTTCCCTGGGCTGCTGTGAGGCCGGAGCAGACCATGCTGGGCACTAGCACCCATCAGTCTCCTCCCCACAACCAGACCCGTGATTTCCATGGTAGAACCCCGCCCCATACACACACGGACCCCGCCCAGCAAACAGCAAGTTCAACACATGCCCACGAGTCTCTCCCCCAGCACAGCCTGGGGGTGTGGCTGAGGGTCTCTCCGGAGGGAATGATGTCCTCACACTGCACCTGCTGTATGGCCTCCATTGAGCGACCACCCTTTCTTGGTTTCAAGGCGCCCTTCATTTTGAAACCAGGTAAAATCAGGGTAACAAAGGGGGTGCCTCAAGGAACCCTGGCTACAAACCACAGAATGAAGCTAAATTGAGCCTCTGAATGCTACTGAAAACTCCCCACAATCTTCCAAATTAATCCCAGGATGTCTCCCAAGCATGGCCCCCATTCCCTGAACCCACCACATCCCCACCTCATGGACTCTGTCCTGTTAGGCCCACTGCCTAGAGCCCTTCACCCCGGCTCCTTCCTTTCAGCCTTTGTGGTCAGCGAATCACCATCTGTTCATTTCTTGAACCAGGCCCCTGAGGGCAGGCCAGGCCTGTGTCCACCCCTGTGCTCCCGATTCTGTCAGCTGCGTCTGGCCCTGGACACTTGTCAACGGACTAAACGTCCTTATTCCTTCCCGGGAAGAGGCAGCTTTGCCTACTGAAGAGGAAACTGAGGGTCTAAGTGGACCCCCTCCCCCCACCACATCCCTGACAGAGTCCCTGCCTACTGCTCACCTGGCTCCGGGGGCCCCTCTTGGGGCCGGGCAGGCAGCGGGCGGGGGCCGCGGGGGCGCGGGCCGGGCCGGGCCAGGGTCACGGGCCCCAGGAACTCCACGTAGGTCCCAGGGAAGTCGCCGCGCTGCCGGGTTCGCTCATTGAGGCCGGGTATCCAGCCCACGCTCTGCGGGCAGCGCTCGCTGCCCTCGGCCACACCCAGCCCCTGCAGGGCCGCCCGGCTTACCACCAGCACGTCACCGGGCAGCAGTTCCAGGTCCTCCGGCCGCTCCCGGCGGAACGGGTACAGGGCCCGATACTGGAAGCCCTCGGCGCCGGCCATGGTGGGCGGGAGGGTCTGTAAGGTCAGGTGGCCGCTCGGGGCCCCAGCGGCCCCATCCGCTGGGTGGGGGCCAGGAGGGTCCACGGGGTTGGCTTGAGGTGCTCGGACCTCTATTTCCAGCAGGAAGTTACAGGTGACTCTAGGGGACGCTCATGCCTTGTTTCCTGTCGTTATTCCATGACCCTCAGAAGGGTCACTCGTGGCTCCGCCCATCATTCGTCCACTGGTGGGAGGGGTCGCCAGTGAGTGCTCTGGTCATTCAGTCGTCGCGAAGCCCCCTCGATCCGGAGGGCTGGGCCGGGCCTGCCGCTCACTCTCTCACGCGGTAGGCCACAGGCGCCCGAGGCTGGCGGTCCTTCCAGCTGTCACCATGCTCGGCGGGGGACCAGGGGCTGCTGACCTGGGGGGAGACAGGAAAGGAAAGGGCAAGGCCGCATAAGCCCGGTCGGACTCCTCCCACCCCCAACCCAGAGATAGGCCCAAATCCCAGGTTGGAATCCCCTGACTCGCTTGGTAACCTTGGGCTATTTCCTGTCCCTCTCTGGGCCTCAGTTTCCCCAGCTGTAAAGTGGGTGCAATAATATTGTAGCTGTTCCTGCCGAAACCGGTTTGGCTCAGTGGATAGAGGGTCAGCCTGCGGACTGAAAGATCCCAGGTTCGATTCCGGTCAAGGGCACGTACCTTGGTTGCGGGCACATCCCCAGTAAGGGGTGTGCAAGAGGCAGCTGATGGATGATTCTCTCTCACAGATGTTTCTAACTCTATCCCTCTCTCTTCCTCTCTGTAAAAAAAATCAATAAAATATATATTAAAAATAATAATAATAGCTGTTCCTGCCGAAGCTGGTTTGTCTCAGGGGAGAGAGCATTGGCCTGCAGACTGAAAGGTCCCATGTTCGATCTGGTCAAGGATATGTACCTTGGCTGCGAGCACATCCCCAGTAGGAGATGTGCAGGAGGCAGCTGATCCGTGATTCTCTCTCATCAATGTTCCTAACTATCTCTCTCCCTTCCTCTCTGTAAAAAATCAATAAAATATATATGTATAAAAAATAATAATAGCTGTTCCTTGGGGTATCTGCCCCAGATGTACTGTATGCCGGGTAAACAAGCTTTGTTAGAGATGGGGAAACTGAGGCTAAGGGCGGGAAGGTCTTTGTCCTGCCAGGAAGCCACTACTCAAAACCCCAGATGTGCCTAACTTCAAGGCCCAGGATGGAGGGAAGGCAGCAGCCACATGGCCAGCTGGGCAGACTCAGAGCGGGTAACGCTCAGGGTGCGGTGGGACCCCTGAGCGGGGATCGGGCCAGCGGAGCACAGGAGACAGGAGGGCACAAAGAGGTAGGAGAGGAGGTCCCAGCAGGTTACTCACCCCACCTTCCCACGGGCAAAGGGTCTGATCTCTGCAGAGGAGACAGGAACAGATGAACAGGAGTCCTGGCTGACTCAGCGCAGGGCCCGCAGTAGGTGCTCAGGGCATAAGCAGGTCGGTGGGAGGTTGGGAAGACCTTAGCCCCGGGGCCAACAGTGGGTGGCAGGAGGGCAGTGCGGCTGCCAATGGAAAGGCTGCTGTTTGCCCGCTGATGACCAACCTCCAGGAGTCCCCAGTCTCAGGGAGACAGGGCTCAGCAAACACACATTCCCAGTATCAGCTCTGCAGGCTCAGTCCTTCTTAGAGGTTGGGGTGGGGGTGCTTTTCCAGAGGGCAGGTCCCCACTAAAGACAGAAGCAGGCACTGGCCACTTGAAAGTGGGCAGTTGCTTAGATGGCTCTAAGAAAGTCACCGACCACCACGCAGGACTCTGCCTGCCGGGCAGAGGGTTAGAGGGTAGGGGCATTCCTCCTCCACCACCTCCTCCTCCACCACCACCACCGAGAGCCCGGGAGGTGCGGAAAAGAGAGCAGAGGCTCCACATTCCGGGGCCCCCCAACTTACCCACTCCCTGGGCCCTGCATCCCCATGCTACAGGTGGGGAAACAGGTCCAGAGAGAGGACCTTTAGAAAACCGCCTGGATTCGCTTGTCTGCACTCGTTTGCACTCGCCCGGTGTGCACACCAGGGACCGAGGCTCCCCTAATCCAAGAGGCGGGGTGGCGGGGCCAGGCCTGGCAGGGGCTCTGCGGCTGGAGGCAGGGCCTGCGTGCTCATGAGTGTCCGGACGCACACTCAGGCCTGCGTGGACCCCCGGAAGTGGAGCCGAATCCCGACGCTCAGACCTCACTATGCTCACATAATGCCCGGAGCCCCTCGTCTCTGCTGGACGCCCCACTCCCAGCAGGGCCTCCCCCCATTCCCGGCCAAGGCTCCAGTCCCTTATCTTCGCCTGGAGGCCCCCGATCCGCCCCCTCCGTGCGGTGGCTGCACGGCTGCCAGGTGGAGTCCGAGGCCTCCGGCTTCCCGTGGTCTCCCCGGGTCCCACGGGCCAAGCTCTGCCGAGGCGCCAGCATTTGCACGCACCCCCAGCCCCGCCTGTCACGCCGGCCGGCCCGGACTTACTGGTCGCGGCCACCAACGCCGACGCCGAGGCGGCCGTAACGAGGAGCCGAGCCCGAGCAGTGGCTCCACCGCGGTCGCCGTCAGCGCCACCGCGGGATCCCCGCCTCCGCCGCCGCGGTTCCGAACGACCCGGCCCACCCCCGGCGGAAACGGCCGAGCGCCTTCGGGCCAGGCGGAAGCAGGGTGGCTGAGGAGGAGCCGGGAGACGCCGGAACGCTTCCGGAAAGAGCCGAACGTAATCCCGCGGGACTGGAGACTGGAAGTAGGGAGTCCCCGAGAGAGTCCCCATTTCCGGAAACAGCCGAACGTGGCCGGGTCACGTGGGCGACCCGGAGCGGACCGTGGGTTTCAGGGATACCCGAGCGACTCTGGAAATAGCCGAGCGCCATGGGGCCTGACGACTAACCCCGAGATTGGGCTCAGCTAGGCTCGCCCGAGCTTTGACGTCCCCTAGTGATCCTTCCCGGAAACGGCCGAGCATAATCGGGTCAGAGGAGTGATCCTAAAGCCTGGTTCGGCTGAGCTTGGAGACACCGAGCGATTCGGTAACTGGCTCAGAGAGCTCCATAGGACTGGCGACGAGGCTGAGCCTCGAGACCGCGGAGTTTCTGCAAAGAACCGAGCGTCCTCGGCCCCAAAGGAGGCCCTAGGAGTTCAGAACCAGAGATGGCCAGCCAGCTTCTGGAAATTGCCTAAGAATGGGCTGCTCCAGCGTGGGTGGTGGGGGCCGGGGTTCAGGAAACCGGAGCCGGCGGATATGGGAAGAAGCTACTACCCAAAGCTGTGATCTGAAGAGCCGGGGTTTGGAGGCGTTCCCATGGCAACCCAGAGCGTCTGGCAGCAGCTGAGCCAGCTCCGGCCCCGCTTGCGCGAGAACACGCCCAACCCGAGGCCAAATGCAAACAGCTGTTTTCTGGAAGCGGCCTCAGACGCTTGGGAACGGGGGCGTGGCCAGAGGTTTCTGACCCTGAGCAGAGCTCAGTAAGCATCTGACGCATTTGGCAGAGCTCAGTTTGGGTGGAGATGGGGTGATTTTAGGGCACAGCTCAAGCAAGTATAAAAAGGACACGGAGCCCTAGCTGGTTTGGCTCAGTGGATGGAGCTTTGGCCTGCGACAGAAGGGTCCCCGGATTGACTGCAATCAAGGGCACGTGCCCAGGTTTCGGGCTGCATCTCCAGTGTGGGAGCGAGCATGAGGCAGCCAATCAATGGTTCTCTCATCATTGATGTTTCCCTTCCTCTCTGAAATCAATGAAAAAAATATATATATTTAAAAAAGTATGTAGGAATGGCCGAAACTGGATTGGCTCAGTGGATAGAGCATCGACCTGCGGACTGAAAGGTCCCAGGTTCGATTCCTGTCAAGGGCATGTACCTTGGTTGCAGGCACATCCCCAGTAGGGGGTGTGCAAGAGGCAGCTGAAAGATGTTTCTCTCTCATTGATGTTTCTGACTCTCTATCCTTCTCTCTTCCTTTCTGTGAAAAACCAATAAAATATATTTTAAAAAAAAGTATGTAGGAATGGTTTATTTAGTAACCGAGCTCAGGGCCCTGGGCGGGTGTCTGAATGAAACTTTTTTAAAAAATATATATTTTATTGAGTTTTTACAGAGAGGAAGGGAGAGAGATAGAGAGCTAGAAACATCGACGAGAGAGAAACATCGACCAGCTGCCTCCTGCACACCCCCTACTGGGGATGTGCCCGCAACCAAGGTACATGCCCTTGACGGGAATCGAACCTGGGATCTTTCAGTCTGCAGACCAACGCTCCACCACTGAGCCAAACCGGCTTCGGCCTGAATGAAACTTTAAAGAGCAGAGCCCAGGATGGGTACTCACAGGGAGAGGGCAGCAGTCGAAAACCATTTGGGTTTTCGACTCAGTTTCATCCTGGGGAGGCTCTGACACGTCGAGGGGGCTGTCAGAGGGTGCTTCAGACACATCATGCTCAAGGGCTCACCTTGATCAGCATCAAACGTGAGATCTTGTCCAGGGTGGACATCCTGCCCTGGCAGTGCCTGGCAGTGCCCAGAGGAGCCACCAGAAAGCACCTCAATGAACTCCTATGCAGCATTCAAAACCTAATTTAAAGGACTTCGAGCCCAGGGTCTGTTTTCAGCCCACCTCCACCCCCTTCCCTTACTCATTCCCGGCCCCGGGTCACAAATCCAGACAGTGGACCTCCTCTTTGTCAGTGTGGGCTTTATTCACTGTCAGCTCCGTGATGGAAGGAAGAAGCAAGTCATGCATAGCCCGGGTCTAGCTCCAACACTAGGCAGTGCTGGGGGAGGGGCGGGAGGACGCAGAGCAGGCTGCAGTATCCGGGGAAATGCCTGAACCACGCGGGGCACAGCGATCTTGCCGGCCACCTCCACACGGCAAACGGGCTCCGAGAGACCCCCACGGGTCACACAGCTGTATGACAGGCTGCGTTCAAGCCCGCCTGCTGACAAGGCCCACGGCAGGGCCTGGCGGCATGGCTCTCTCCAAGCAATTGTGGGACAAGTCTCTGGCCCTGTCAGGCCTCCGATGTCTGTCTGTAAATGGGGGTGATGACGCCAGCTCCAGCCTTCTCAAGGCTGGCCGAGGAACAAGACGTGAGTAAAAGACCTTGGCACATAGTAGGTGCTTAATAAAGTTACTGGGATTAGTTTTGTAAACACGAGGAAACTCAGGCACAGAGTGGAGCGACCCTTTTCCCAGAGCCAAACAGTGAAGCCAAGACTCACACTCAGACTTCACTAACCCCCATTTGGGTTTTCTTTTTTCCCCATTTGGGTTTTCGACTCAGTTTCATCCTGGGGAGGCTCTGACACATCGAGGGGGCTGTCAGAGGGTGCTTCAGACACATCATGCTCAAGGGCTCACCTTGATCAGCATCAAACGTGAGATCTTGTCCAGGGTGGACATCCTGCCCTGGCAGTGCCTGAGGCCGCCGCCTGCTAAGGCATTAGTGTCCCCCGGGGACTAGAGGTGGCGAACTCCTACTCATCAATGAAAGCCCCAGTTCCCATGTCCCCTAAGCCCCTACAGGCAGAGCAGCCAGGCTGGCCTACAGGTGGAGGCTGGGATGGTGGGAAGCAGCCTCCAGCATCCCACTCATCCTGGGGATGATTCTGTTCGTGGCGGAGGGGAATCCATTAGACTCTCCAAGTCACATCCAAATTGGGCCCAAACAAGCATCCCCATCGGTGAGTCTTGGATCACGGATGGGATCAAGTAAAACACACACACAAAAAAAACTTTAAAAACAAACCAAAAATGTTAAAAATACAGAAAAACGAGAAAACACGAACACACGGGACTCGTCCAAAGTGCTTGCTGCAGAGGCCCAGAGGCAGGGTCTGCAAATGGGGTCCGAGATGCCAGGGGTAAGGGCCTGGCAGCTCGTCTGGCCACCGCTGACCAAAAGCAATGCATTCGGTGTGCTCTCCCTCCTGGGAGCACGCCTGCCCCTTCCCTCCTCCTCTTCCCCCAAACAAGTTACTTTACCTTTCTCTCCCAAAGGCCCTCTTGTCCTCTGTAACTTGTTCCCTGAGCCCCTTTCTTTCCAGGGCCTTCCTTTTGCCTCTGTAACTTTCTAAACTTCCTCTTATACTTAAAAAAAAAAAAAAAAAAAAGTAATAAATTACTCACAGGGATTTGCTATTTACAGTGCCACCCTCATCTCCTATTCCTGCCCTACAGCCCCTGACTGACGGCACCAAAACATGCAGGTGCTGGACTCCACCTTCCAGCAAGAGGCACGTCGGACGCTTCCTGCTCTCCGGAGTCACAGGCTGGCGGCTCCGTCTCCGTCCAGGTGCCACTTGACTGGAAAAACCTTGCACAAAAACCGCACAACTTCCAGGCCAGCGCGAGGCCAGGTGGGAGGCATCAGTCCTTCTCCGTGGGCCCCAGGGCCCCGGGAACGGCCTCGGCGCCCTCGACGGCGATCTGAGGCATCGCCCCGGGCAGCCTGGCGGCCTCCTCCGGGGGCTCGTCAAAGCTCACCTCCTGCACGGCCTCCTGCTTCTTGAAAGAGTCTCGGCGCTCAGACAGGTGCAGCCTCCGCATGACCACCAGCTCGGAGTCCGGCCCGCGGCTGCGCCGCCCCAGCTCCCCCTCCAGCCGCTCGCCTGCACCCAGCTTCTCTGCCGACTGGCCCCGGCGCAACCGTGGGGACCGGGCGGGCGCGGGCAGGGGTGAGGGCGAGCGGGGCGGAGGTGCGGGCACAGGCGGGCAAGCCAGCGGGGAGGGCGGGATGCTGCTGGTAGACTTGCGGCGGCCGGCCTTGGGGCGGGGAGGCCCGAGCTTGGCGGCCAGGCCGTGGAGGGAGCTGGGCCGGGTGTGGCCAGCAGTGGCTGGGGAGGCAGGGCTGCTGGAGCTCGGAGAGCCGTTGGGCGGAGACGCGGTGTCTGTGGACGACAGTGAAAGGTCAGGCCATGGCCCTCCAGTCCCCCCGCCGGAGGCAGGGCCCTGGAACTGACTGCACCTGCCAAAGCCCACATGTTCCGCAGACCATACAGCCTGCTTTTCCCGCCTCTTGTTGTTTGCACAGGCTGTTCCCGTGGCTTAGGTCTGGATTAATTCACTAGAGGCCCGGTGCATGCACAGACGGGGTCCTTCTGGGTGGCCTGCAGGGATCGGGCCGAAACCCGCTCCAACCGCCTGCAGCTCCTACCTGCTGCTCCCACTCATCCGGGCCCCTCTGTGCCTGCCATGGGCTCACATCCCTGCATCTGGCGCCATCCCAAGGGGAGTGGCCTGCGGGATGGGGCAGAAACCGGCTCTCTGACACCCCCCAGGGGTCCTGGATTGTGAGGGCGCAGGCCAGGTTGAGGGACCGCACCAGTACACAATCGGGCCGGGGAGGGACCACGGGAGGGCTCCAGGGCGTGTCCAGCCCTCTTGCTCAGTCCCGATTGGTCAGACCACAGCAGCAAGCTAACCTACCAGTCAAAGCATCAGCCCCCT